TGACGTGAGAGTACCGCCCACATCAAGAATGTTCCGTCAGTCGCCTGGTTCTGATTCGTCAGCTGATGGTCTGACACCAAATTATTTTAAAGTGAGTGGAAAATAAATAAAACTTCTATAATATACATGTACATGTAATAAGGATAAGGACATCAGGGTTTCCCACAAAGCATGCTAAGTGAGCTAAAAAATATTATGCTTCATGAGCTGAAAAGTCTTATAATAGCATATGGCTTTTGTAGCGACTTTAAAAATTCGTAAAAGATCCAAACTTGATCGGAATCAGTTCAAAATTCCTGTACAACATAAGAACATGTATATGTATAAGGAAAAATTATAAAAATGGAAAATTCTCAACTTTTTATTTTTGGCGAAATTTGGCCAATGCCCCTGTACTATAGTACAGGGACTTTGACCCAATTTCGAGCAACTTTAAAAATTTTTTTTAAATTCAAACTTGATCAGAATCATCTTAAACTTTCTACATAACATAAGAACTTGTATATGTATCAGAAAAAATTATAAAAATTAAAAATTCTCTCCTAAAAATTTTTGACAAAATACCCTGTACCAGTACAAAGTATGGGGACTTTGGCCAAATCTTGGAGCACCTTGAAAACCCATTGACAAGATGCTACATTCATAAAGGCAGTGATAGAGATTATTGTTCTTTTATTTTAAAGGTATCTGCTAGTGCTGATGATCTAACTTCTGGTGGTGAGGATCGTAACTCTATCCATTCCTTTGGGTCTAATCACAGTGGGGGAGGAGGAGGGGGTGGGGCTAAGATTAATTTTGAATTATCGGCAGCTGCTAACACCCAAAGCACCGTTGTCTGATAATAAGTACACAATAATACCCACTGATAATAATTAATAATAATAATTATGACTTGATATTGTGATTATAATATACTCTTTATCATTCTTCCTCTCTCTCTCTCTCTCTTTCTTGGAACTACTCGTGTTGTTTGCTTGTCTTATTGCTTTAATAACATTATTATTATTATTATTATTATTATTATTATTATTATTATTATTATTATTATTATTATTATTGTTGCATTTCTCAAGAGGTTAGATCCACTCATAGTGATATCCAGTGGAATGGAGGAGTAGAAATTACTAGTAGTAAATGACAATGATACACAACCAGGTCATTCTACAGCTGGAGAGTAATTTTTATAAGAGAGAGATTGAGAAATAGATAGGAAGAGACAAGCTTCATAGATACATGTACATGCAGTTATGTGTACAGTCAGTTCCATTACCTGTACATGTACATGTACTTCATTCTGTTGATATTCTATTATTGGAATACTTTAATGCTGTAGCTACCATAACTAATTAATGACATCATCATAAAATCATATACAGTGGAACCTCGCTTAACGACCACCCCTAAGTAACGGCCGTCTATCATATAACGGCCAAATGTCCAGGTCCGGATGCAAACTACACTTACTTGCCTGTTAAGGCAACCCCTGAAGAACGACCACCTCTCTATTGCGTATAACGAGCACTCAAAATGTCCCCAACACAACATAAAGCATTGAGAAAAACTTCTCTTTAACGGCCACGTGGCCACACCCATCACCTAGACCGCATGTTTCATCATAAACGTCAC